GGGGGGGAAGATTTTGACACTAAAAAAAAACTTATTGGCTTATGATAAAGAAAATCATGATCTTAACCATATTTAGATCTTCAACCTTAGGGGGAGCGGATTGAAGAGAGCATGATCTTAACCCTTAGGGGGAGCGGATTTGTGGTTAGGATAGGAATATACCTAGTCACCATGCTTAATTAAATATCGTATTCTTAATGCGTTCTTAATAGATTGATTTCATAGGAATATAGGCGTTAATCTATTGAGAATAGGAGAGTAGTACTTCGAGAGAAGGCTATAAGAGCATTTATCGATTAATTAGCAACCATGGTGAATTATATGAAAGGGAGAGTTAATTAGAACACAATACGAATGGTAAATCGATCACAACCCTAGAATACTTGTCTCTATTGAATACACAACAATCAATTCGTCACTTGATAATTTAGTACCACTTAGAATAGTAGTATAGTATAATCACATTATTGGACTTTAATTTTAGCTGGACTGAATAAAAATTTTAGTAATTCCGTGAGTAGTTTACATAAGTCTCTGTGGGTTCGACACTTAACTTATCATTATATTACTTGTCGACCGCGTATACTTGCGTGTGCGTTCTGGAGCAACAAGTTTTTGGTGCCGTTGCCGTGGACTTGAATATTAACTACTTGCTAGTTTTTGCTTTAATTGCTTATTTCGTCTAGTCTAACGTTACTTGATTGTTGCTCAGATCTCAGGATCTTTGATTGAATACGTAGGGTCAGAAGCCAGGACAGACTTCAAGGCTTTCATCCTGAACCTGAGAGAACATTTCACAGGAGGTTGAGGGAAGCAAGGGACGCGAATAATATTCAGGCACTTGTTCAATTTCCTGTGAACATGGCAGAGGAGCAACCTATGGCTGTTCAGGAGGTGGCAATGCCCAGCATTGCTAATGTCACCTCCAGTATCGTGAAGCCCAGGATCACTGGGCATTTTGAGCTGAAATAGAGCATGATCCAGTTACTTCATGCGAACGGGCAATTTATGGGTCTTCCACATGAGGATCCGCAGCAGCACATTCTGAACTTCTTGGAGATTAGTGATACTTATATTACTAAAGGGGTCACTCCAGATTATGTGAGGCTCACACTTTTTCCATTCTCTCTATTGTGTGAGGCTAAGCGATGGCTAAAGGCAAAACCAGCTAACTCCATTACAACATGGAATGATTTGGCGAGAAAATTTCTAGCAATGTTTTTTCCTTCAGGAAAAACTGCAAAGATCAGAAGTGAAATAGTAGCCTTCAAACAGAAAGCAGGTGAATCTTTAAACTCAGCTTGGGAAAGGTTCATGGGGCTACTAAGAGACTGTCCTCATCACAATCAGACGAATGAAGTGTTAGCTCACACGTTCATAGAAGGACTACATTCTGAAACAAAGATCGTGGTAGATACTACAGCTGGGGTAAGGTGTTGGAGAAAAGCTTTGACGAGATATATGCATTATTGAACAAATTCTCCAAGAGCAATCCGGATTGGCAAGGAGAGCTGGGCAGGCACACAGTGCAAAAGTCTGCAGGGGTTCTTGAGCTAGATGTCGTCTCAACATTATCAGTGCAGATTGCTACATTGGACAATCAAGTGAACCAGATGAATTTGAGTATCAACAAGCAGCAAACACAACCGGTACAACAGGTTCAGGCTTTGTCAGAAATATGTGGAGAAGGGCACACGAGCGACATATGCCCCGCAAACCGAGAGTCTGTCTGCATTGTGGGTAATTGAAACAGGGGCCAAACAACCAATATGGAAACACTTACAATCCCAACTGGAGGAACCACCCAAACTTCTCTTGGGGTGGAAACCAGGGCACTCAGAATCAATACAGGCCTCAAGCACCTCAACAGCAATATAGACCACCTCAGGTTGAACAACAAACGAATCCTAAAAGTCACCTTGAAGACATGTTAAAAAAGGTGATGGCTGAACAGCAATCTCTCTTTCAGAAAGTGATGGCTGAACAGCAAGCCCTCGCCACAACAGTGAGAAATTTGGAGCGTCAAATGGGACAGCTTGCTAGTGCTCAAAATACTAGACCAGCAGGAGCTCTTCCAAGTGACACTGAAGCCAATCCTAGGGCGACCCTTAATGCTGTGTCGTTGAGGAATGGGAGACAACTAGAGGAAGTTCTATCTAAAAAGAGGAAACAGGTGACTTTTAATGAGATTCCAGCCACTGTAGAATCAACATCAGAGAAATCCAAGGAGCCAGAGAAGTCGGCTGGAGAGGCGGTGGCTAAGCAATCCCCACAATTGGTTGCAAGGCCACCACCTCCATTCCCTCAAAGACTGCAGAAATTACGAGATCATGCCGCACATAATAAGTTGCTTGATATCTTGAAGCAGGTACAAATTAATATTCCATTGGTTGACATCTTACAGGAAGTACCCAAATATGCAAAGTACATCAAGGACATTGAGGCGAATAAAAGGAGGCTGACCGAGTTCGAGACTGTGGCACTCACTGAGGAGTGCAGTTCCAGAATTCAAGGCAAGTTACCTCAGAAATTGAAGGATGCAGGTAGTTTCACTATCCAAATCACGATTTGTAAACATGCTGTTGGGCGAGCTCTATGTGACCTTGGAGCAAGCATCAATTTGATATCGCTATCTACATTCAGACAGTTGGGGTTGGGTGAACCACGCCCAACCACAGTTATCTTACAGTTAGATGACCGCTCCCTTGCTCATCCTGAGGGAGTAATTGAAGATGTGCTTGTCCAAGTGGGGTCTTTTATATTCCCAGCCGATTTCATCATCCTGGATTACGAGCCTGATCAGGAAGTCCCATTTATTTTGGGGCGTCCATTCTTAGCCACGGGCCAAGCTATTATTGATGTTTGTGAAGGTAAGATGACGATGAGAGTGGGTGATCGAGTGGAGGTCTTCAACGTTTATAGAGCACTCAAGTTACCAACCCACTATGAAGAGTTATCCATGATCTCTGTGGTAGAAGGTGATGCCACATCGTTAGTACCCTATATGAGCCTTGCAGATCTTGTTGAACGGGTATTGATTGGGGACATAGAAAATGGTGAAGATGAAAGGATGGGAGAAATTGAGCAAGTGCTGGATATGTCCTGCTGTTATGTACATGGGGTTAGAAAATTTAAAGAATTGGATAGGCCTGTCACTCTGACCCTCCCCAGGCCATCTATTGAAGAGGCTCCGAAGCTAGAACTCAAGCCACTTCCAGCGCATCTGCGCTATGCTTATTTGGGGAACTCAGAGACACTGCCCGCGATTATTTCATCCAGCTTGACCAGCACTCAAGAAGAAAAATTGCTTAGAGTCCTCTGTGAGCATAAAAGGGCCATTGGGTGGACTATCGCTGACATCAATGGAATTAGTCCATCATTTTGCATGCATAAAATCTTTCTAGAGGACGGACACCGCCCCAGTGTAGAGCAGAAAAAGAGATTAAATCTCGTTATGAAGGAGGTGATGAAAAAGGAAGTAATCAAGTTGCTCGATGCAGGTATCATTTTTCCTATTTCTGATAGCAACTAGGTAAGCCCGGTTCAATGTGTGCCTAAAAAGGGAGGAATGACTGTGGTTGAGAACGAGAAGAATGAGCTAATCCCCACTCGCACTGTTTGGCTGGAGAGTCTGCATTGAATATAGAAGGCTCAATAAGGCAACTCGCAAATATCACTTCCCACTCCCATTCGTCGATCAAATGCTAGACAGGTTAGCCGGGCATGAATATTACTGCTTCCTTGATGGTTATTCAGGATACAATCAGATCCTCATATGCCCAGAAGACCCGAAGAAGACTACCTTTACTTGTCCTTATGGCACCTTTGCCTTCAAGCGAATGCCATTTGGTCTTCGTAATGCACCAGCCACTTTCCAGAGATGCATGATGGGTATTTTCACCGACATGGTGGAAAAATTCGTGGAAGTGTTTATGGATGATTTTTCAGTTTTTGGGTCTTCTTATGATGATTGCTTGAGGAATTTAAGCAAGGTGCTGGCCCGTTGTGAAGAAACAAATCTGGTACTAAATTGAGAAAAGTGCCATTTTATGGTACAAGAGGGCATCGTGTTGGGTCACATAGTATCTAGGAGCGGCATTGAAGTTGATAAAGCAAAGGTGAAGGCGGTTTCAAAATTACCTCCACCTATCTCAGTGAAGGGTGTCCGGAGTTTCTTCGGACACGCGGGTTTCTATCGGCGCTTTATTAAAGATTTTTCAAAAATTTCCACTCCCTTGTGCAGGCTGCTTGAAAAAGATTTCTCTTTCAATTTTGATGATTCTTGCCTCAACGCATTTGAGGAACATAAAAAGAAGTTGGTGACTGCCCCCATTATTGTGGCACCTGATTGGTCTCTACCATTTGAACTTATGTGTGACACGAGTGACCTTGCTATTGGGGCAGTGCTAGGCCAGAGGAAGGACAAGATGTTTTATTCCATCTACTATGCGAGTAAGACTCTTGATGATGCACACCAGAAATACACCACCACTGAGAAGGAGTTGTTAGCCGTTGTGTGGGCCTTTGAGAAATTCCGGACATACTTGGTGGGAACGAAAGTCATAGTTCATACGAACCATGCAGCAATCAGGTATTTGTTTACAAAAAAGGAATCCAAAGCTCGTTTGATGCGCTGGGTTTTGTTGCTGCAGGAATTTGATGTGGAAATATGAGATCGAAAGGGGACAGAGAACCAAGTAGCTGATCATCTATCACGGTTGGAAAATCATGATCACGTGGAGGAGGGTGGCCAAATTGAAGAAGTGTTCCCTAATGAGCAACTTTTTGCTATAACCCAAGACTCTCCCCCATGGTATGTAGACTATGTGAATTATCTTGTGAATGGAGTACTCCCTCCCGAAATCCAATCCGAAGCTAGAAAGCGGTTCTTACATGATGTGAACTTCTATTACTGGGATGAGCCTATTTGTTCAAGCAATATGCTGATCAGTTGATGAGGAGATGCATTCCTGAAAAAGAGGTGGAATTAATGTTGTATGATTGTCACGCATCACCTTATGAGGGCCATCATGGAGGAGATAGAACAGCTGCAAAGGTGTTGCAATCCGGTCTCTTTTGGCCGACCTTATTCAAGGATGCGCATGCATTCGTTAAGAAGTGTGACCAATATCAGAGAACGGGAACAATCACAAGGAAGCATGAGATGCCTTTGAATAATATTTTAGAAGTTGAGCTTTTTGATGTGTGGGGGATAGATTTTATGGGGCCATTTCCACCGTCCAGAGGAAACAAATACATTTTGCTAGCCGTTGACTACGTGTCAAAATGGGTGAAGGCAACTGGTTTGCCAACCAATGATGCCATGGTGGTAGCTGCTTTTGCGAAAAAGAACATATTCTCGAGATTTGGGACTCCACGGGCCTTAATCAGTGATGAAGGGACTCATTTTTTCAATCGATTGTTGAATAATCTTCTCGCTAAATATGGAGTTCGCCACAAGGTTGCTACAACAAATCATCCACAGACAAATGGGCAAGCTGAGGTGTCAAAAGAAGAAATCAAGCAAATATTAGAGAAGACGGTAAGTGTGAATAGGAAGGATTGGGCTGCAAAGTTGGATGATGCCCTATGGGCGTATAGGACTGCATATAAAACACCAATTGGAGCGTCCCCTTACAAGCTGGTTTATGGAAAGGCCTGCCACTTGCCTGTTGAGCTCGAACACAAAGCATATTGGGCCATTAAGAAGCTGAACATGGACCTTGAAGCCGCAGTGAGAAAAGACTTATGCAGTTGAATGAGTTAGACGAGTTCTGGTTGCACTCTTATGAAAATGTGAGGCCCCATAAAATTTTTGGCTCAAAACCTAGTAACTTGTGGTGTCGACTCCGAATATGTGTTAGGAATGTGTAGAATTCTTCGCGGTGAGCTTGCTCGCCGTGGTTGGGACCCTTGGTATTGATCTAAGCTTTTAAAAATCAAAAGAATCAACTTTCCAGAAAAAATGCAATTCTGCGGCCAGAATGCGGTCGCAGATCTAGTATGCGGACCGCATTCCTACCGCATAGTGAAACAGTGGTTTGATTAAAATTGAGGTCAAGATGAGGTCCATTATGCGACCGCATAACCAATATGCGGACCGCATTTCTGCCGCATAGTGAAACAGAAGAGTTGTCAAATTAATGTTGAAAATGCGGTCTATTATGCGATCGCATAATCAATATGCGGACCGCATAATCGTCGAATAAGTTCCTCAAGGATTTGTGAAGGTCAGTTCTGCGGTGCATAATGTGACCGCATAACAGGAATGCGGACCGCATTCCTGTCGCAGACCCAAACAGACCCCTCAGAGTTTTGGGGGCACTTCTGCGGTCCAATCTGCGGACCGCATTTCGATTCTGCGATTGCAGAATGCGACCGCAGATCTTGCTCGGCTTCTATTTTTCTAAATTTTAAAACCTGACCCCTTTGTAATAAAACACCCAACCCCTCATTCTTTAACGGTCTTCTGCACAAAATAAGAGAGAGGAAGTGAGGGTCTTGAGAGAGAAAGTCATCTTCTCCAAAATTTGATTCTTCAAAACTATCTGGGCCGGGAAATTTCAAAGTGTGTGTCTTCATCCCCATTCTTGCAGGTAAAATCCCTAACCATTCTCATTAAATTTCAGGTTTAAACTAAGGGGGGGGGGGGAGTCTTATGCATTGGTTCTTGATTGTAATGGTTGAAATCATACATGCATGTCCATTAAAACCAAAAACCTAGTGGGAGTAATTGGGTGGGAGCAAAGACTTGTACAAAGAAGGGGTTAATAACCTAAATATGTTCGGGTAGTGATTTTGAAGCTTGAATTCTAAGTTATGTGTATTAATTTGTGCACTATATTGATGTTGCTAGATTTTTGGTGAATTGGAAGTAGAAAATAAAAAGGGATTCAGCTCTAGGTATGTATGGCTAACTTTAACCTTTGTAAAATCGCCATGTTTGGTGTCCAAATACTCGGTATATGATATCTTCATGGATTAGTTGTGAAGTTAAATTCTTGTGAGTAGTATGTGTTTACTTGTGTGAACCATTTGTGAATTCATGTAAATATTGTGCCTTAAACGATGTTGGTTAAGACGTCCGATATGGTTGTGCAAGTAAATGGCAATAAACCAAGTTGTGATTGCGAATGTGTTAGTGGTAAGAACTGTGGAATAAATGATGGAAAGGAATCGAAATTGGTGAAATTGAAATAACTGTGGTAACATCCTTTGTGGCTAGTTGTGGAAAATTATTGTTGTCATATAAATGGTACAACAGGCTGTTGAAAAAGATGGAAATGGCATTGATAGTCATATAAACTCTGTGTGAGTTGTGCTGTTGTTCTTTGAGATGTAATGCTGTTGTTATTGGGATTTGTTGTTGTTGTTCCTGAAACTTGTTGATGTTCTCCTTGTAAATTGTTGTTGTTGTGCTATTGTTTGTGAATTGTGATTGCTCGGCGGGATCGGGTTGCGCGCCGCAACACGAAGTAATAAGGTGTGCGTTATGGTGATAAGGGTGGCTGAGGTAATAAGGGTGGCCGAGGTAATAAGGATGGAAAGTGATCGATATCACTATTAAAATGAAACATGAGAACATTGTGAAATTGAAAATGTGGAAATGATGATGGGGAAAAGGAGAGATTGTCAACTTGTTTGCCTTGATAGTTTTTCCTTGTGTGTATTCAATTGTTGTTTCCCTCTATTGTTTGTTATTTGTGTATGGTTTAAGGTTACTCAAGGTAAAGTTTGTTATACATACCAGTACAATTCAAATCTACTGACGTCCCTTTTGCTGGGGGTGCTACATTCGTGTTATGGTTGTAGGTGGATCCGTAGCAGGTACTCCAGTCCACTGATCGTAGCTCCCCTTCGTCTTCCATCAGCTTTCTGGTGAGCCCCTTTCCTCTCGGGGCCCTGCGTGGCTCAGGCCGCTTGTTTCCGGAGTTTTATTTTGATTTTTGTGTGAGGTATAGCCGGAGCCTTGTTACCAGCGAATACTGTATTATCCTGTTGTACTTTTAGAGGCTCCGTGGACAGTAGATGTGGGTTAAGAACTTGTGTAAATCAATGTTCATATGTTGGGCAAAGAATTTGTAATTTCATTAACTATTATGTACGTATATATGTTTTGCAAAAAGGGGTTCTAAATTAAATATATGGCTAATTCTTGGAATATTGAGTAAGGAAAACATGGGGTAACACGTGGGTTAGGAAAGGCACCCATGTCCGCTTGACTGGGGCTACCCGGTCGGGCGCCGGTCATGTCCCTCAAATTTGGGGCGTGACAAATATAGTATCAGAGCCTAAGGTTTAAAGGAGTCCTATGATGTCTCGGAGCCGTGTCTAGTAGAGCCCTACTTATCGGTGTGAAGTCGACCACATCTATATGTGGGGGGCTGCATGGACATTTAGGAAATTTCCCACTTCTTTGTTATTTTGTATCGTGCGGTGAAGTGAAATATGAAAGTATATATATCTAACTCGTGCTTTGTTCCGAACTTTTTCAGTAATGGCACCTAAGAAGAGAGATAGACTCGGCCTTGGGGCCAATCCCAACCCGAGGGAGGCTATGAACCATGTACCTGATGCCGTGGGTGAGAGTGACTCCCCGGCCTTGAACCTACCTGGCCCGTCTGTCCCAGACCAGCATGTTCCTGTTCCTGCAGCGGAAGAGGGTGCCACCATCCCTCCCACCGATATTCCTGATTCTGGCACCATTCCAGCTCCTGGTCCCGAGGTTTCTGATGCGGACCTTAGAGGAGCCATCCGTATGCTGACCCAGTTAGTGGCCGCTCTGGCCTAGAGATCTCAAGATGCCCCTACATCGTCCAGCGGTCAGGGAGATTCTGCCAGTTCCAGAGTTAACAAGTTTTTGCGGCTAGCCCCTCCAGAGTTCTCGGGCACAGACCCAGAGGCCGATCCGCAGGAATTTCTTGATGAAATGTATAAGACCCTCCGAGTGATGAAAGCTTCAGAGACAGAGGGGGTTGAGTTGGCATCATACAGGTTGAGGGGAGCAGCGTATTCATGGTTCGAGATGTGGGAGGACTCCCGTGGGGAGGGAGGACCTCCGGCCAGATGGGATGAGTTTGTAGATGCATTTATGGACCAGTTCTTGCCTGCTGAGACCATATTAGCCCGTGCCACTGAGTTTGAGACCCTCAAGCAGGGCAGTATGAGTGTTTGGGAGTACCACATGGAGTTTGTGAGATTGTCCAAGTATGCTCCTCAGTTAGTGTCGACCATGGCAGCTAGAGTTCGGCAATTTGTTCAGGGCCTTAGTCCCTTGGTAGTAAATGAGGCTGCTACAGCGGCCTTACACTCGGATATGAACTATGGAAAGATTGTGGGATTCGCTCAGGCCATAGAGGCTAGGAAGTTGAAGATTCGGGCGGAAAGGGAGAATAGCAGCAGGGCTCGATCAGCGGGTCACTCAAGGAGATTAGCTCAGGGGAGAGGGTCGTCAGGGCCATCCCAGTCATATGCTCAGTCCTCAGCGAGCGCACCGCCATCTCTACACAGTTATCAGCAGAGCAGCCGCATGAGACCAGGTTCAGACAGTAGGAGGCCCCATCAGTCCGGTCGTTCAGGAGGGAGATCACAGCAGCAGGGGAGGGCTACATGCCCCAAGTGTGGGAGGTTTCATACAGAGACTTGCTACTTGGATATCCCGGTGTTTTTCAGA